TCAAAGAAGTCAACAGCCCAGATTGGATTTTGTATGCAAGGGTTCGATAGACACAGTTCTCTTCGCGCATCTCTTGGTGTTTAGAATTGTCTAGATACGGCAGATGCACGGAAAATTGTCACTTTTCAGCAGTAGCTGAGCAAAGGTTGTAACTAGCAAACTGAGTAGCCTACTGTAAGCAGAAGCTTAAAGAGCATCGTAAACTGACTGCCTACTGTGCACCTACCGTATCCGGGTAGACAATTTTGTACATTAAAAGATGATCGGCGTCGAGATGAGTTTGGCAAGCTTTTTGGATTCATAATTTGTTGTTATTGAAATGAGATATGGCAATTTTATATTCGAAAACTAGACGATGATAGTTTTCGTTTTTACCAAACTTGAGTAGTATTGTAAACTAGCCTTGGTACATACTTTCAACAATTTCCACATGAGGTTAATTTACCAGCGCTCCTTGGTCACTTTCACATATTGTGTATGATATGCGTAAACCATCATTTATGGAGATGCAAATTACAGGGTGTCTTAGAAAAATGTGTCTACTGTTTGATTACTAATAACTTTCTTGTAATGAAGTACCGAGAAGCATGAGGTAACATTTTGTAGAGCTAGCTTGGACTTAGATTTGCGATATAGAAAGAATATCTCTCTTAATTACTGTAGGATTACGGTAGAAACTTCTAAGAAGGTTTTGAGCCATGAAAGGCCATTTTTTTGTTTCAGAAGGGAAATAAAAAAGTCTGAAAACTTTCACACTGGGCTGGATAGAGTTGCTGATTTTCAATGTGAAGTTCAGAACTTATCATGATGCTCAGTTGGAAAGTTATGAGAGGTAAGCAGTAGCGGGAGAGTTTTCAATGTTCCTGAAAACTGCGCTTACACCGTTTAGAAAGCTTTGCAATCTTGTACATAATTGAGTATTGAACTCAGAGCAGGGCTCGGCACGAGCTGGCACCAGATTTCAAAACGAAGTCGCCTTTGACTGTAAACCCTAAGCGTAAACCCTCAAAAAATGAAACGTCGACTAAAAAACGTCGCAAATTTAGTCTTTTCGACCACAAAAATAATATCCCCTTTGCTTTTTACCCCAAAACGATATCCAGCTTGACTCGGTGCCGGCTGTGCGAGCCCTGACTCAGAGTCCACAAAAATTCTATTACACAAGTTTGCACACTTTTTTTGAAAATTTCTGAAGCGGCGGCTTTTTTTTACAATGACACCATATACTCGAAGTTTCTACCGTAATCCTATAGTAATGAAGAGCGATCGTTGATTTGCTCCAGCCTTAAATCTAAGCTGATCCAGCTCTACAAAACGGTACATACTCAAAGCTTCTTGTAAGACTTCATTACAAGAAAGTTATTAACAATCAAACAGTGCGCACATTTTTCTGGGACACCCTGTATATGTCCTTTTGAATTCGTAAACTTTAAAGTTGCTGAATTTCAGTTAATTCTTTCTAATTTGACTTCTTCAGTAGCTGACATACTCGCAGCATGACGCTATTATTTTCCAATTTGTTCAGTAATACTTTGCAGTCCAATAAACTCCTGACAGTGAAGAGGATAGTGAATGCATCTAAACTTTCACTTAGCCCAACGTGAACCTGAAAGCTTGCTGATAAGCTTGACGGCTATTGGAATTACAGTTTTCGTTCAGCTTTATGACACTTTTTAGTCGCACCTTTCACTACCTGTCTATGATCTGCTTCGTGGGATTTTAGCTCTGTGATTTGAGAATAGATTGTTCTTGTACAGCTGTTTTCATTACAGTGCTTTGTGTAGTAGTGTGCCACTTTCAAAGATATAAAGAACAGGTTTCACGCACATCTGTATAGCAGTAATACTGCTAAACTGTTTATGATTTCATTGCATACATGGAACTATTTACACATTGCTACTTGGCTATTTACTTCCTCTTTGGCGAGAAAATGTTATATTGAAAATGCGCCTTTCAAAGTCTTAATCTCAATCTTGATGAGGACGAGACGGTCCTAACAAATGGCTCTAATTTCTAGCCTCTCAGTGTCCTTAACATTTTTGACTTGCTTTTCGTTTGTTTTTTCAAAATATAAACTTTTCTGTACATGTGTCCAGTATTCAAAGGAGAGCTTCGTTTAAAGTTTTGCATGAATACTTGTGCTAGGGATCTCGAAAGCAGTGGTTCCTGAATTTACCTATATCTTTGGGGAGATGTGCAAGTGCTGAAACAGAAATCAGAAAAAATGTAGAATACGGCTGATAAGGTAAAATCTGCAATTTCGAACTATAGGTGCTGCCTATTTTATATTTAGAATGAGATCAGAAGTGTGACTGAACCAGCAATAAAAGTCTCTACTGTTTTACATTCTTTCTTCACCTGAAGTTTTTGAGAACTACATTTTTGTAGGCCGCGCAAAACTTCTAAGACTCTCTGAGGAGATTTAGTGATGTGACCGTGGTGAGATAGGAGGAGGATGGTGAGATTTTGATGCTATATAATGACAGAGACGTTAAATAAGTATTAGCTCAAGCTCCGCTGCTATAGATGGCGAAGCGAAAAAATCGCCCCAAAAAGGTAGAAACGGCCCAGGAATCTCCGCACATCAACTTAGGTGATCTGAAGTTAACAAGTCCAAAATCGGCCTTCAATGGTTGTCATAAATCCTGAATTGCTTGTACCTTCTAGAGCGTTTCTCTTCCTTTAGATGACCTTTTGCAGCGGGAGGCTACTATATAGCTCAAAGACATTGCCATACTCAACTATGTAGGGTGAACGATGCCTATAATGACTTGTGATTCATTCCGTATTGAAAGTTCATGTTGAAGCCAGCCGTTCATTCTAGGGGTCCAAAAATCGATCCAGTTATAAATGAGCAGATAGTGGGTACAATTTTTGGGGCAGGTAACTTGCATATTGACGTGGTCTACAATCGAACTTGCTTTGAAATGCTCAAAAAATTCATTGCATGATTTCTGCAATTCAGAGAAGATTGCAATTTATAACACCAGAGTTTGTGAGACAAAAGCAAAAAGCCGATCAAGAAATTCCGACAAACTAATCGGCACGAATTTTTTTCTATCGATACTGTAATCTGTGAAATTACACCCAGATATAAAGTCAAGTTAAGTTGGAAGTTTTAGTATTTCTCTTTGTGTCTTCGCAATATGCCAAGATTAATTCTTGCTCTAAACACTAATAGAAAGTGCATAATTTCTTTCATTGAATTGAATGATGGCTCCGAAAGTTCGTGCCATTTTTTCGATTCATCGTAAGACTAAATGAAAGGTAGACGTGGATGAAAGGTATACAAAAGCTTTGAATTGTAGAGTAAAGCTGTAAGTGACAGTTGTGTACTATAGGACCTTAAAAGCGTGAGTGTGAATTTTCAGCTTTTTACAGCAGCTGGTTTACGAAAAATATTGAAATTTTGGCAACTAGGCAGGGAAAACTCGTATAAGGAGATCCAGATTCGAGATTTCCCGTGAACTAGCTCTTCTAGAAAGCTGAAAATGTAAGGTTTTACTGCTAAGGACATGTAGTATACAACTGTTAATGCTAGAACATCTCAGCATTGATTTGGCAAAAACACGAAAACTTTGTTTTCTCATTTCCTAGCTGAGAAAGAGACAGCAACTCATAGAAAAATCTCTAACATAGAACGTCTAGGCATGTGCAAGCAAGAACTTTTGTAGGAGTTTTTTAAGCGGTGTTACAATTTTGTTTTGATTTGTCTTAAGGTTTTCGGGCGTATGGTTTTTTCAGTTTTCGGCTTGAAACTTGGCGTGGATTAAAGCTAGTATAGATATTTCAGAAACATCTAATAGAGCTATGTTTGCTACATCTAATGATGCATCAAATCCTATTTAAGATATAGGAGAATTCCGGATTATTGCGGTCTGTACCTTTTTTGGTGCACGATTTATGAACATCAACCTAATAAAAGTAATCTCTTGAAGTGATCCAAATCATATTTTGTCACTTTATATATCGCAGAATCTAAATTGGTTAGCAAGCTAAGTGTAATTTAATGCAGAATATAATCCTCTACTTAATATCTATCTCTTCTTCCCTTTTTCAGAAGATTTGTGAATAAAATCATAATGATTCTTAGTCCACGGTTGCGCACTGCTCTAGCCGAGCAGGATCTTTGTAATCTAGTTATTTCGAAGCGGTGAGTTCATTCATTTTAAAGGAATAGTGAATGAGGTTTCGAAACCTTCACGTTTTTGAATCCTTCAGCGCTGAATGCTATCATTTATCATTTCCGCATTTTACAATGTTTGCAGTAAGGGGCTATGAATGACTGAAATAGCTCAAGAAGTATTGTGCTGCACATTTGCTCCATCCGATCGTTGTCAAGTTTCAAAATTATCAATCATTTGCAAGTCTGAAATGAGAATCAAGGTCAGTCAACGTTGGCATGGGAAAAATTTTCTAGGAATGGATTGTTCCAGAGGAATCAGTTGAATATCATAGCTGCTGAAAAAGAAAGAATGTGCTTACGATTTTGTATGAAGCGCTCCTCTCTCCAATTTACCTATTTTTACGATATGTTCAAGTGAAAAAGGTACGAACTTTTGGGGCGAGACATACGGAATTAGTCGGTTTGAAAGTGGACAAGGATACGATATTTTGAAAATATTGGTACACAACTTATGGATGAACCCAATATTGGAAAGGTTTTTATGAATTAAAGCTTCAGGGTTGTTTTGTTGGTGGACGAGTTTACTAACCAAATATGGATTGAAATTTCATTTTATATTGACAGAGTTAAATATTCTCCATCTTTCGCCGTCTTTCGCTCGATAGCCTATAATCAAATTATGGGAAAAGGGGTCGTGGCCCTGTAAAGCTTCGTCGTAAATGCATTATAGCGAATTCCTACTTGACATGAAACATTAGCGCATATCAAGAACATTCATAGACTTTATCAATTTGGCTTTTTCAATCGACGACTTATTCGTTTTTCGTAGACTTCGGACAATTATGTCGCGCCATTGTTTTTTCTACCCAGATTCCATATTATCTATGAGCCGAGCGAAGTCATGGCTTTGTGGAAATTTGCTCCTGATCCTCACTATTCTTGGCGTTGTCGTCGGTGTCTTCGGCGGAGGACTGCTAAGGTATCGCTTTTGTACTATTAGATTTTCCACAAAAAACTGTTCTAGTTTAGACTGCTCCAACCCTCTGAAGAAGTTGTGAGGTACATAGGCTTTCCCGGCGAATTGTTCATGAATATGCTAAAAGCCATGATCCTACCTCTAATCGTTGCTAGTTTGATTTCAGGTTCGTAGCTTGTGTTCTTTTTCAAATGACGTTCGCAGGAATGACGTAAATGAAAGAGAAGACTCGGTTGTAGACCGAAAACAAGCTCTTATATGTTCGACACCTTTCCTCCAGCGTACAATACAGTTACGAGCACGCCGGCATAAGTTGTACCCCTAGCGCGGAGATGGGTTACTCAAAAGGGATTAAACCCTGGCCTATAAGAATCCCACGACTTTTACAAAGATTGTGGTTCACCATTGAAACCGAAGTCATGAACATATTGGTGCCGTTTTGGAAGTCTTGAAAGCGGTTACCATAGAATTGATAAGCAAAGTATTTTGCATCTGCCCATACTTCTTTAACAAATCCATCACAAGGCCGGCCTTTTCGGACCAGAGCCTAAAAGCTTTAAGTAATTTTTAGGGCTTTCTCAGCTGGATGGAAAAACATCTGGTAGACTGGGTCGTAGAGCTCTGATGTACTACGTGCTTACAACTACTCACGCTGTAGTGGTAGGTTAATTAAGATCTTTTGGAATTTGTCACTTGAGCTTATCAATACCCTTCTGTATTTTTAGCTGGGAATCATTATCGTTATGCTCTTGCATCCAGGAGATCCGCGAATAAAAGGCATACAGACTGGTGTAAATGAAGGCATTGCTGGGAAGATTACCGCCGCAGACAAATTTCTTGATTTATTCCGGTAAGTTCATTCTTCAATACACAATGGATTTCATGGAGAGTTGCTCAGAAATATGTTGCCTGAAAATATCGTCCGCTCCACGTTTCAACAACAGCAGACAGTCTATGTATACAAGAATGTAACTGGTACGAGAATGGAGGAAGTTAGAAACATAGCCTATGCGGATGGCATGAATGTTCTTGGTTAGTAAGGATGGCATGAATGTTCTTGGTTCATACACTGAACATCCCGAGCAACTGATTTAGGTTTGATCGTCTTTTGCATCGTCATGGGTCTCGTTATCTCGCGACTTGGTAAAGCCGCCAAACCACTTGCTGATTTTTTCATTGCCTTGGATCTTGTCATTACGAATATTGTTTTCCTTATTATGTGGTGAGATTCGATGGATACACAGTCTGCCACCACTTATACACTTTTTATCAGGTTTGGACCAATTGGCATCCCCTCATTGATAGCTCAGAAAATGTTGGAAGTGCAGGACTTAGTGGCCACAGCTCAGACAATGGGAATGTTTATAGTAACTGTAGTCTTAGGTAAGATAAGCTAATCGATCTCAGTCTCTGCGTGCCCCAATGAGCTTCTGTAGGGCTAGCTGTTCAGTGTTTCGGCACGCTTCCTCTAATCTATTTCATTGGCACCCGGCAGAATCCGTACTCGTTCCTTCGCGGGCTTGGACAGGCTGTGCTCACTGCTCTCGGCACGTCTTCAAGGTATAGTGGTGCCAAACGAGTTTTTTCAAACAAGTGTTGAATCTTTTTGTTCTTCTTATTATATTAGGTTGGCATATAAGTTTTGCAACTTTGTCCATAACTTCTTTTTCTTTGAATAAGGCGCATTCAAATTTTATGGAGACTCGGAGGTGTGCTATGTACTACAAATCTGCGCAAACTGTTTTTTATATGACCAAATGGAAAAAATCTACAACTTTTCTTAAAAGCGGTCAAGATCGAAGTTTTACGGTTTTTCAGCACAAACGCAGAACATGGATTGACCAAATTCGACCGGAATTGTAGGCAAGATGTTCTCAGAGATTGGCTACTGAGCTCAGTGAAAAGAGAATTGCAAACTGAAGTCACGAATCCTGGCATCCCGAATGAGTCGAATGCGTAAAAGCTGCCTCAAAAATTAATCGATGCCAAAGAGTTGGAAGCGTCGGATTTTGACGCAACATGCACAATGGGGTAAATTGACATGCTGATTACGAGCATCATATTCAATTTTTGTCAAAATGATTATTAGCTCATTGAATTTTCGTAACTCAATTTTCCGTGCCCAAACAAGCCTTTCAGGTAAAATAATTATCATTTTCGTATTTGGAATGTCATATAACCCCTCTAGACTAAGTTTCCTTCAAATCTGTGCAAATGCCTTTTCTTTCCCATTCAAAAATTGCCTTGCCGTAACTCTCAAATGCGATGACGGAATTCGGCAGGAAGTGTTGCATTCGTTGCTCACACAATTATCATCATAATAGATACCAAAGAATGAAAGCGCCACATTTAAAAAAGCAAAAGTTATTAGAAAGTTGCAAAACTTATGTGGCAACCTATTATTTCTTTAGTTTTTTACCTCAAACAAATAGTAGGCTGATTGGCTTTGCAGCACAGCTCTTTAGTACGTTCAGCATATATCACCTCTATCAGGTTTTGTCCTAATCAGGTTCTTTTTAAGATTGAGGACAAAGAGAGTAAGAGTGAAAGTCTTGATGAATTATTCTTTTGTTTTTCAAGACACGCCTTAAACGATCTTAATGCTGCGAAAATGAAAGTATCAAGAGAGTTTGAAGAAACTAGAAGAAAAGAGCTTCTGAACAATACAGAATTTCTCCCAACAAAAGATGGTTCTAGCTTTAAGAGCAGCATTTAAAATGACAAAAACATGCATTAATGTTCGAAACTATCAGTCAAAAGGTTCATAGATAGCCTTAGCTGTTATGAGGAAGTGTGCGCTCGCGATAGTTTCCAGCAATGTCTAGTAAGCCTACAAGCGAGAAGCGGTCCCTTAGCTAACACCATTTATTCCTTCCTTCACACCTAAAAAAGTGCCCCGCAGCCGAAAGGAGCCAAGCAAGTATCTAGATTGTTGCAATCAGTTATCCTCCATAATTCTATTATGGTTCGGTGATTTGTTGCTGATTGGGGCCTAGATTCCTGAAATGGGCAGAATCTACAAATATTCTTATATTTTCAATTGTCTCTTGAGTCAGCTTACCCAAAGTTCACGCTATTAGAAGCACTTTTTCGGTTTTTCAAGCGTGTCGCTCAGTTGCCTCGTTGTGTTTCGGAAAACGAGACTTATGGTGCACGATACTCTTAGGCAATATGTATGGGCAGAATCACTGTATATAGTTTTTGGGTCGCGAATTCCTTCGGTATGTCTGTGCTGTTTGATTTTAGAAAAAAACTCCCCTGCGTAGTATAGCTTGAAATTGGGGTGAATCTTTCTTACTTCTAGTCCAAGCTTCTCAACTCGTAGCTTAAAAAAAGTGACAAGAACGATCTGCGCAATCCAATCTTTATAGACAATTGCATTTCGTTTAATTTGTGTTTTTATTTATCTCTGCATGGCCCATGGCCATGGATATTCGAAGGGACTTTGAAATATTGCGTGATATCTTTTAAAATGTGTGCTGTGAGAAACACGAAATACCATGCAAAACTAATGCACTAGTGTCTAATACGTCTGCCACGGAGAAAAAAAAATTAATTGTCTAACCTTGAATGAGATACTTCTTTGGTCCCTTGCTTAAGAAAACATTTGTGAAATTAGAGCTGGCTTGTTAAATAGTTTGTATACGACAAAATCATGTGAAAATCATGTGGGGTTTTGAACCAAGAAAATGAGAAATACACAGAAGGAGCTGCTTGTGCGGATCGAGAAAGTCCTTAAAGTTATCTTGGTTATCGACATCCGCGATGTTGAGAAACTGGCGCACACAGCATTTTTCCTGAAATAGACATAACCACAAAACAACAGTTTAGTTCACTAAAAACCTTTAATTTATGAAGTAATTTCTTGTATTGCTTTTATATAGTCGTTTGGTGACAAGCATGGGAAAGTGAGTGGAGTCGTCAAAGAGGCGTTCGCGAGAGAGGTGCAGAGCCCAAGCGAGGCGGTCGTGCAAGATTAAGGAGCTCGGTAACACTGGCTTACATAATTCTGTCCCAATCTCGATCTGACCAAGATTGGCGCGATGCCAACCACATCGCCATAGTTTTACGCCATGTCTACAGTCTGCTATAAGATCGGATACTTAGGAGCTATCTGTTCCCAAATATTCTCTTCCGCTGTTTTCCGCGTGTATATGCAGAACAAACCCTCAACGCTATGTACGCGTGACTTCGGGACAATTTATCAGCCTGGTTCCAACTGAAACAGATTCTACATTTATACTTTAGATATAAAGACTTATAGACATCAACTTATATAGGATCTGAATTACAGTGCAGCATCATTACCGGTGACGTTTCGGTGCCTGGATGAACTTGGTATCGACAGCAGGGTAACGAAATTTGTTCTTCCAGTTGGTGCGATGGTGAACATGGTAAGAATTCATTCACTCTGAAGGCGTGGAATTGTGCCAATTTTTGCATGCTTTTTATCAATAGAAGTGTCTTGGCGATAAACTGCATTTTCGGCTGCGCAAGCTCAAGATCAGTTAATGTTCTTGATGGAATCTATTTGTTAGGACGGTACAGCGCTTTACGAGGCAACTGCGTCCATCTTCATTGCTCAGATCAATGGAATGGAACTATCGATAGGGCAGGTGTTAACAGTAAGGTAATGTTTAAGAGTACTCGAAATTACCTCATAAAATGCAGCATCATTTTGTATACTGGTCCATGCAGACAAATTCATAACATTTAAAAGCCTAGAGTACTTCAAAATAGGGCACTTTTTCTTGTACTGAGTTCCAGTTCAGAGGAGTTTGTCTAAAATGGATCTACTTTATGCGACGATGATTTCATGATATTCTTAGCATTTACGCAGACATTATTTAGCGTAACTGCTACACTAGCATCTATCGGCGCTGCCTCAATACCTAGTGCAGGATTAGTGACGATGATGATTGTCCTGACTGCGCTCGGCCTACCCGTCAATGACATTTCGCTTATTATAGCCATAGACTGGTTCCTGTAAGTTATCATTTTCACAGAAAACATAAGCTATGTTCACACCACATTTCCAGTGATCGCCTGAGGACTTCGGTGAACGTGATAGGAGACGCATTTGGCTGCGGATTTGTTTATCACCTTAGCAAGAATGATCTGGATGGGTTCAACACAAATGATTCAAAAACATTGGCTGAGAAAATAGATTATCCCGTAAGTGTTTGGCATGTAGTGACCATAGATCCTTTAAGACAGAGTAAACTTCGAGTACCCTTTGCTTCAACCAGATCGGCTGCTGGAAGGCGGGGCTTCATGACCTAGGAGGCGACTGCTCGCGCCAGCGACTAGTCTGCGCCTCCCTCGCGAACATGCTCTCTGATCATTTTCTAGCCTTAATTAGGTCACGCAGCCCCGTCTTCCAGCCGCCGATCTGGTTGAAGCAAAGGATACAGCTTATGATAATTAGCAAAATGCCTGCATAGGACGAAACAACAGATATCTTTTCTTTGCCAACCGAAAGTATGAACAATTTTCTGCAGTGACCTGCAGAGTTTCCAATAACACTCAAATGGGTTTTGAATATAAATTTATAACACCGGTGGAGTTATGCCTATAATTAGTTTTATAATTTGAGACTTGCACATTTAGGCAAACCATTTTTTGGAAATCGCGGATTCTAAGAACAACAATGACGCTGAAAATACTGTCTAGAATTATACCTCATCATTTTCTTTGTTATTGTTTTACTCATTCGCAAACGATTGTTGACAAGAATGGTCTCATGGACAGAAGTTTTATTAAGAGAAAGGAGAATAGCTATGCTTGAAAATTCAGTAATTGATGATTTGTATAACTTAAGTGTGATTAATTCTTAAGTATTGATTTTCCATGTTTGAATGGAAGTTTTTGCAAAGTGTAATAGATATTTTATAAATGAATACCGCCTAGTTGTTTAATGCACTACTAAATAATGCCCCAGTTCCACTATGATCCTATATTCGAGCCTGCCATGTTAAAAATACTTATATTGATTCCCTGTGCCAAACTGCAAATTGTAGTTAGAGGAAACTGAGTTTTAAGACACTGAAATAGTGCATTACGTGTTGTAATAATGAAGTCGTTACGAAAAATTTTTTCCTTTTTCTTGACCTATCATGAAAGTATGTAGAATGAAATTGGACAAACATTTTAAGAATATCCGTAAAGTGCATATGCTGTTTTTCCTTCTGTGTTCAACGGGTTCTTCATCAGTAAAATTTTGAGACTATTTGCTTTTATGGTTACTAGTTGTAAAATAATTGCAGAAGTGTTGAACGCAAAATTTGTACCATACCCAAGTTTGGCAATTTTTCAAAACCTTTATTTTGAAGTTCTGGGAGAGTTTTGATAACATTGAGGAAACAAATCACAATACTATAAATTTTTGGCATCTCCAGCTGGCGTTCTATACTTACCACTATTTTTCTGATGTTTGAAAATTCTATATTTTCTCAAGCCAAATCTCGTGACATAAAGCGACGGCAACTTGGATGTTATTCACTGCCATCTCTTCTCCCCAAAATATCGAAATTTGTTATTTCGAACGGCGAGCGCTCATCTGCCTTGCACAATCAGTGTTAAATGATAACTGACTTCTAGAAATTCTGAATTCGAAAATTTTCTTGGTTTCCTGCTTTTGTGTATAACATGATGCAAAAGTGACTTCTTTATCAACCATCTCAAATGATTGAGAAACGAAGATGACCAAAATTTGTTGTATTGCATTTTATTTACTTTACCAGCATGCTACCACAACCAAAAAATTGCCAGATATTCTTATGACATGTCGATCGGAAAGAACTCGAAATGCTCTAATGTTATAACATACTTTAAAGGCAGTGTCCCGGCAGATTTTGCACCTCCACCTTTTTGCATGTTTTAGGCCTTTTCGCCACGTAGAATCCGAATTTGAGCTTTGAACGAGCTGAAAAGGCCGATCTTGGGGCGTCCTAATTCCAGAAAAGCAGCTTGGACGAGATTTTTAATGGAAAGTTGGGGGAGGTCCTCAGACGAAGATCCTGCCGCCTGTAATTCTTGCTTTGGATAGCATGCATCATGGGGGAGAGCGCTCGTGGGGTCCCGCGCCGAACAGGCGGGGAAGGCCGTCCAAGCGCGCGCCAGTTGGGGTTGCGCGCGCCGATTCAAGGGCCATTTTCTCGGCCCAGGGGGAACATCACCCAGCCGGAGTGCGCCTGGAGGTCGATGAGGTGTCCAGGAACCCCACCACACGTATATACCCCAGGACCCGAATCTGCCGGGGCACTGCCTTCAAAGAAGATCTTCGCAGAAGTACGTCAACAAAAAAAGGGAAAAGAATGGAATCTGCATTTTGCGTAAAAAGCAAACTTGCATGCGCTGTTGAGATGCTTTTCCGTTTTGAAAAGTATAATGATGCTCTTCCGCTCTCGACTTCTCACAGAAATAATGCAGCAGTTTGGCTTAGGTCTTTGACAGTAGCTCTTTCCCAGAAGTACTATCCCTCAGACACAGTGTCCCAAATATTCGCTTTATCAATTTTACGCATATCTGATCGTCTTCATTATGCCGTTCTTAAACTGCATCCTGGAGGACGCAGTTTATAGCAAAACAACCTTTTTTACTTCACGTTGAATATGGATGCAAAATTGCAGTTGGGATTGGCAATCGTGACAAGGATATCGTTCTGTGGAAAAGCCAAAAGGATTCTAGCGTAGTCCGAAAGAAGCCGTGAGAAACGTTAGCAAATAACGAAGTGGTATCAACCTTGGAAGTTCTCAAACCACTCAACACGAGCCACCATGCCAAAGTTAAAAGACAGCCGAGCGCGGAGCCGTGAGAAATTTGCATGTATCTCCCCTCAAAATCTCAAAATAAAATGATATAAATCAAAAACATATTCAAATCAAAAGATTAGCAAAGTATGTTCTAACATTTTCTCGCCATGACCAATGGAGACACGACTCGTTGACAGTATATGTATGACGATATACACCAACTGTTGCGCTGTACACAATGGAGAGATTGAAAGAATTTTATGAAATCATGCGAACGAAAGTTATGGATGGCTTTTTTCTAATTTAGGCGTCTTCTAGCCAACAGGCAAGCCACGAAATGGAAATTAAATAAATCAAATCAATCAATTAATCAAAGTCCTCGAAATCTTATATATAAAGCTGAATGTCTGCTTGTCTGTCTGTCTGTCTATCTGTCTGTCTGTCTGTCTGTGTGTACGTATGTTCCGAATAGAAAATTCCATTTCTGAACCGATCCGGGCCAAACTTGGTACACATATACTTCGGGGCGGGGCGGGTTTCATAGGCTACTTTTCATCATCGATCGATATCGATTTTATCGATTTTTATCGATTTTTTGCAGAGTTCATCTACGGGGCTGGGAGTTTGCACAGTGGGGTAATCGAGCATGCTGATTACGATTACAATATTAGTTTTCAGGATTATCGATTACTTTAATGGACCTGCGGGGCTGGGAGTTTGCACAGTGGGGTAATCGAGCATGCTGATTACGATTACAATATTAGTTTTCAGGATTATCGATTACTTTAATGGACCTGCGGGGCTGGGAGTTTGCACAGTGGGGTAATCGAGCATGCTGATTACGATTACAATATTAGTTTTTGGAATCGTCCACTACTTTTCATTGATTTTATCGATTTTTTGCAAAGTTTGAGCTGGGATTTGGCACAGTGGCGTAATCGAGCATGCTGATTACGAGTTCGATATTAGTTTGGAGCTATTCGGCTATCCGGGCCCCAAAATATTTTCGTGGTAGAGCTTGCTCAAACTTCGTGTATAAGGGTCATTTTAAGGGCCGGGCATGCTTCAAGCGATTTCGCGACGCGATTAAATATTCCAGGTGTCCATAACTCATTGTAAGCACATTATAAATGTACAGAAGATAGGGCATTTCATCAGTTTACGTAAATTATACACACTATGCATGTACAGTTTGCTAATGTTGGATCCGAAGACTTCTGGCGAATTGCCAAATCGCGTCGCGACTGAAATCGCGTGAAGTATGCCCAGCCCTTTACATGCTGACTACAGATATCACACTTTCTTCGCAGAACGTCTTCCCGCGTATTTACGACAGGTGTAGGTAGGAAGTCAAAATCATGAATTCGGCTGGAGTTCGGTCCATATGGCTTATCCGACATGCTAATTACGAATATCATCTCTGTCTGCATAGTGGGACCTTTTCATAGAGTTGTGGTGGTTATATGGCATGGGGTCGAAAACATAGAAATGCTTTAAACTTCGTCTAGGGCGGTCATTTAGCACGCTGAACACGAATATCATGCTGATTTCGCAGGATAATGCATTTTCTTGGGTTACGGTGGGTGCAGATGGGTCGAAGTTCCAGATTTGCTCAAAACCTTACCTGTAACGGTTCACAAATATATCGCTTATGAATATGATGCTTGCTCGCTGTCGCAACGCAATAGTGAAGTTATGGTGAGTTGCAAGGTTTGAATGGACTTTTTTCGCTTTCGGGCCAATTTAGATCCCAGATATTTAAGAGATGGGAAAACGATCGTTTTGCATAGCGGTCTCCAGCGCCATACTGTTAACCTGTCTCAACGGTAACGCAAATCTGCCCCCCGCCCCGTTCTTTGCTTAGGCAAAAGCCGCCGAAGGGTGTATCGCGCGCGGCAACGGTCCTATAAGGGAAAGCATTACGGTCGTGGGAAACTTTTATACCATACGAATTGCCTTTATCGTGGGGATTGAGCACGATATTCTTGAAACAGCAATTTAGGTAATTTTCTGCCAAGGTTTCAGGCAGGTTCATAATTTTTACCCGCTGCCATGTACCTATTCAGCAATTTAGGTAATTTTCTGCCAAGGTTTCAGGCAGGTTCATGATTTTTACCCGCTGCCATGTACCTACCGTAACTCTGTGAAAAGGTTTAACGCAACGAGAGTGTTCTAGACGTGGTCAGAAGGTCGAATCTCTCTAGACCGAGTTTCAGCCAAAACTGAAATTTCGCCCCTCTGCAGTATACCTACCATAACTCAGTGAAATCGCCTCAAAATGCCAAAGGAAAATGATATTCGTAATCAGCATGTCAATTAGCCCCCCCCCCTTCAAAGTTTCAGCGAAATCCATGATTTTAGCTTCTTATATGTACCCAACGTAAGCCCAAAAAATGGCGCTATCGCGCGAAATGACTACGATATTCGTCATCAGCGACTTTAATAATCCCCATGTACCGACTTTGAGCAAGATCTATCACAAAAACATTTTGGGGCCGGATAGCCGAATAAGGGCCGGACGGAGCCGGGTAAGCCATCTAGTAAATAAATCATAATTCCGAGGTGGCCCAAGAATGAATCATGATTTTTACCTTCACTCACATGATTTTTGACGTTACACAACCATATCTGTAAATCTCAAGTCTTATCTTATATATAAAGTTAAATGTCTGCTTGTCTGTCTGTCTGTTTGTGTTACATGGTGCCTCAAAAGTATGTATTCACTCTTTGATCGTTAATATCTCTCTTCCTAAGAAGTATTTTGCCTTGCTTCAGGTACCGTTTTCTGAGACTAGCTTCAACTTAGGTTTGCAGTACAGAACAATTCACTCATCTCTCTTCATTACTGCAGGATTACGGTAGAAACTTCAAAGAGAGTTTTGAGCATTAAAAGGCCATATTTTACCTTAGGAAGGAATTAAAACAGCCTGAAAACTTTCACACTAGGACAATTAGAGTTGCTGATTCTAACTGTAGAGTTCCCAGCTTATTATGATGCTTCATTGGAGAGTTGTGCC